CCATGACCAGAGCTCCTGGCCCTGGTAGAGGAGCCACCTGCTAGCAGGAGCTGTTCCAGTCATCACACAGTGCCCAGCTGCAGTCATCTGCAGCCTCTCCAGACAGGCTTGTGCCCTTGCCAGCAGACACAAGTGTCCACACACACTCTGTTACCATCATAGGATTATTCCAGAGGACTCTCTCCTTCAATTCGTCCAGGTTTTTTTCCAGATCCTGCTTTTCCAGCCTCAGTCTGTTGTTCTCCTCCTTTATTGCAAAAATCTGTAAGGAAGGAAGGGGTGGGAAGTAGGGAACACCAGGACACGAGAGGATGCAATACACTTCAGTTCTGAGCACAGCATTGTTCTTGGGCACACAGCTCCAGCCCATTCTCCTGCTCTTGACTGACTGCAGCTCTTCCCTGGCTCCTCTTCTTTGAGGACAGTCCTCTCCTCACTGTGGCACTGCATAGGCCTTATATTTCCTATGAAACCTCCACCGGATCCCAAGCAAGTGATCTCAAAGTAGTGACCTGTGTGATGCAGCCCCTGCAACCCCTTGCCACCCTTCTAAGCCTGAGACACATCCACTGAGCACCGACCTGGTGGGCTCTTTCTTCATCTCCACTTAAAGACGGTTGTTGCTCAAAAATTTTATGAAATTCTTCTTCTTTTTTCAGCTTTTGTGTTCTTTGCTCTGCAGCTTCCTTGGCCATTTGTAGCTTTGCACGGTCTTGCTCCAGAATACGGTAAAGCTCCTGCGAGAAGCACTATCAGACAGCAAGACCCTGACGGCATTGTGTCAGCCCCACCAGCCACCCAGCCCTGGCACAGGCTGTGCCTTTGGGAATGAGCCTGGACCCTTTAACAGGCTCTCCTCCCCATGGGATTACTCCTCTCTGACACCCGAGCTCCTGCGATGGCCGACCGGGCAGACCCTGATAGTTGGGATCCGACCGACCAACCCCCCTCGGGCGGAGCCGGACCCACCTTGCACCACTCGATCTCGTCCCGGAGCCGCTCGAGGTTCTCTGAGCCATCATCCTGCGGGCCCTCGTTGGAGGGCAGCCGGAAAAAGGAGTCCTAAAGACAGGAGAGGTCTCAGCCGTGCTGCGCCGGCTCCCACCCGGCTGTCCCCCCGTGGCTCAGCTCTTCCTCACCTCCTCCGAATCCATCCCCGCGGCAGCACGGACTGGAGCCCAGGTCCCGAGAACCGCCAGGACCGCTCTCCCTACTCGGTCCCAGCTACCGGGGACCCCGCATCCGCTCTCGCCTTTCGCTTTCGTTTTCGCGGCCTCGCCCCGCCCCGGCCCCTCCGAGCGCAGCCCCGAGGGCGGTGGAAGGCCGGGCCCGCCCAGCGCCGCCCGATACCTCATCACCCCCATCATCCCCCCGTGCCCACCCCGCCTCACTCATCTTCTCTGGGCACGCACCTGCCCTGCCAGGAACGGACCAGTTAATAAATATAGAAACAAACTCTTCCTGCCCCACACTTGGATTTATAACCCGACCCAGCCCCTGCTCCCCGAGAGGCCAGCAGCCAGCACTGCCCCGTTTGGGAAACTAAAATCCAATATCCACAGGTCATTCACCGTACAACCGTGCACTCAGCCAACACCCAAAACCACCCATTTGCCTTCCCTCTCTCATCCTTTCTCTCACATAGATCACCCCAGTTTTGGAAATAAAGAGATTTCCCCTGTGGCAGGAATATCAAGCACCCTGCAGCTACAGAAGGGAAGTGCAGCCCTGGCCACACCTGGAGCAGTCCCAGAGGTGACACCTGCACCTATGGCTCGAACTGCACGAGGCTCCACAAATGTACTGATGCTCACCTGGACTGTAATGGCTTTCCCAGTTCTTAGAGACACAGAGCAAGCATGACCACACCCCAAAGGCCACTGCTTTTTTGTTAAATAACAAAAAACACATGGTTTTTAATAAACATTTATTGATGCAACCTTGTTACACCCTTAGAATCGCAGCTTCTGGAAGAACCACTTATTCTTGCCGGTTTTGTACCTGAAAGAGAACACACAGGTTAGAGAAGAATGTGTCCTTCTCTAACAGCAGGTAACAGCACCAAACCCACACCTGAGCTGTCCCAGACAGACAGAATGTAGCACCCAGCAATCCACCTGGTCTCTCTGGCCTGGGCTACAATTAAACCCACTTTAAATATTGAAATTCCAAGGGAAACAAGTGCCAGGTTCCAGATTTCTCATGAAGAACATCTGCACTGTGACAGTTTCCACCCCAATAGGCACAAGCACAGGACACAGCCATCCTGCTGGACACCGCATGTGGCAGGGGGAGATGCCCTTGGAGAACAGCTCAGGGGCTGCCCGAGATACTGTGTGTCCCACTGAGGTCACACAGCTCCTTCCTCTGAAGGAGCTTCTGAACAGAAAAACGTAAAGAAAGGGCAGAAACTCAAGCACCCATACAAAGTGTCAGCACTGCCCTGCCCCCCCCCAGCCCAGTGAAAAAGAGAGAGGATTAACTGGCAGCATATTATCAGAACATCCCCTGGCACCTGAAAGACCCCACGTATGCTGGTACAATGCTGCACACACACACAGGTGAAAAGTACACGCTCAACAAACATGCATGCAAAGAAACTGGGGCAGAAGTGCCAGCTTGGAGACTCATAGGCTGTGGAACAGCTGCACCAACTCCTCACTCTGAGGATGAGCACCAACACCGCTGAAGAGATGAGCTCCCAACTCACCTTTCTTCAAATTTCACCTTGGCTTCACGTCTTGCTTTGCGCTTCAGAGCGGGATCCCTGAACACATCCTTATTGACCACTGTTTTGTCCAGTGGAATATCCACAGAATACCTGAGAGAGAGCAGAACAGTTTAAAAGGGACATGGTACCTTGCACAGGGCTGAAAATCAAGCGGAGCCAGGATCGGTCAAACACTCATCCTAGTGTCCGGTCAAGGAGTTTAGCTTGTAAAATTTCCTCAGTTCGGGAACCACCAAACCACTAAAGCAGTCTCAGTTCAGCCTATGAAGGGAACAGCCACACACTTTCTGAGGGATATGCAGCTCTGTTCGATGCCTGGGAGCCACGCCGGGAGCTCTGAGGCACAATAATAAATGCCTCTGCCAGCTCCATACCCTCACAGATATCTCAAACTGCTCACCTGCTGACACCCCATAAGCAAAGGTAAGATCAGTGTGGCTGAAATAAGAGCCAGCTGCCTCATTCCAAAAGTTAATTAATATTTCCACTCAACCTCAGACCCCCAGCTCTCTGTTTTTGCAGAGCCTGAGCCTCACATTCACTCAGCCACAGCATTAACATCCTTGGTAACTCCCGGTGTTCAGTAGAGAACACAAGAACCACGAAAGCAGCCAAGACTTCTTCGGCCCTGCCGGCAGCAGCACTTACCGGGTGGGCATCAGGTGGTTGTAGTTGTAAACCTTCACGAAGGACTTGATCTTGGACCTTTTAGCGATCTTTTTCTTGCCCATGGCAGCAGTCACCTTACGCGGGTAGCGGTCGATGCCGGCCACCAAGGCGTGGCTGTATGGCCGGTCCGAGGTGCCATCGTCGATGTTCTGGAACAAACAGGCAGCGGCGGCGATAGCACCGAGAAGCCGCGTCTGTGCGGGCCCCGCAGAACCCGCGCCCGTGCCGCCCACGGGCTCCCGCTCGCCCCGGCTGGGCGGCGCGGACCCGACGGCTCAGCCCCACACTCACCTTCACGATGACGGCCTTGCGCCCCGAGTAGCGGCCGGCCAGCACCAGCACCACCTTCCCTGGCTTCATGAACTTGCCCATCTCTGCGGAAGCAGCAGCCGGCAGTCAGAGTGTGCCCGCCATCCGCGCCCCGGCCGCCACCCCCGCGGATGGTGGCGGATCCCGCGCCCGCCCGCACTCACCGAGGCTCCGCTGCGATGGCGCCCAGGCCGGAAGAGAAATGGAACCCCGCGTCCCCGCCTTTCGCTCAGCGATACTGCGTCACTTCCGGCGCGTCACCGGGAGCTGCTGCCGGCGCCGTGCGGCGGTTCCGGGCGT